TGTCGTTTGGGCCCACAGTCTCTTCCTGGTGAGTCTGAAATAAATCAGAAAACAATCTTACTATCACTGCTGCTTTAGAGAACACATTATTATTTTGCCGCTGAGAGAAGAAAAACTGATTTAAGCCTGCCGTACTTCTTCCACCATCAGTTGTACACTATTTTAAATAATCAATCTGTAAAGAATACTATTTATTATGCCTGTTCTGTAAAAACTTTCCATAGGTTATATCTATCTCTGCTGTTAAGACACAAAAGAAAACTGCTTTGAATAAGAAGCATCGTTCCAGTGGCATCTGAAGGTGTTTAATATTAGTTTGGTGTAATTTTCACTCTGTTCTCAGTCAGTAACCCTAGTAAAGTTGTCTTTAAGTATTGATTTTCCTCACCTAACATTCATTTTACTGCCACTACAAGTTGGTATACAGTACAAACAGTATATATGCAGCTTACCTACAAACAGCTATAATAATAATCACAACTAGTAGCACAGCGATAACAATAAGAGACACGTCTCTGGGAAACGTTGCCCAAGAAGCTGAAAAACACAAAGAGTACAAGTATGCTTGTAAAGTATATTATAATATGTTTCAAAATGTGACATTTTTAAATAATAATGTTAGACAAAGTAACCCGTACAGTGAAAGTATGCTTCCTAATCAGCGGGTAGAAGGTGTTTTCAGAGACTTACGTTTCATTTTCCAAATGAAAACAGTCGAGTTTTGACTTCCATGTTTGTTGGTGACGCTGCACAAATACTGACCACCGTCACCAGGGACAAACACAAGCTGGTGTCCAACTGTCCTTATCTGTCCATCAGCTATTCTAAACCAGCTGTAGTTCAGTCCAGGGGGGTGTGCGTCGCTGCTGCAGGTCAGGGTGATGTCGCCGTCATCTGCACCCACTGATGACGCAATGAGCACAGACGTGTTCTTAGGACCATCTGGAAACGCACAAGAACTCTTAGGTTTGTTTTTACAATGGATAACTTCATAAAGTGCATTTGGCTTCTGGGCTGAAACATAAAGAACCTCAAGAGTATTTGGGGTAAAATACAGTTTTTAAGAGGGTTTCATGGATCCCACTTTGCTTGTGTTGCATGTTGAAGTTTGTGATGTTAAATAGTTAAATAGAAGTCGGATCATTGTGTGCATGCTCATGAAGCATTCACACTATTGTCATCCATTTTTCTTCTGTACGTTTTTCAGCATCTTTCTCGTTCCACAATTTTTGTGTTATTTCAACAAATCATATATTAAATCGTTCAGAAGGGTGCTACTTTTTGGTACTGGTGCAACTTTAGCTTTTTTAAATAGTTTGCCTTTTCTGCCACTTTTCCCTAAAACAAAATGAAACCTTTAGATTTGTTTACAACCTTTTACTGTTCCTTTCACATTTTGTTCTGGTTCAACTTCTTTCAGCTTAATTGTGCAAATTTAAACACTTTTTCAGCTACTTTCAACTAATTTCAGCTGTTTTTCAGCTGCTTTGTGCTCATTGCAGGATTTTTCTGCTAACTACAACATTTTTGTGCTTCTTCTAACTTCTTTCTGCTAATTTCAGCCTGTTATGCTCCTTTCAGCATATTTATGCGTTTGAACTTTTTCTGCTACTTCAGCAACTATGTAGCTATTTTTATGCAAATTCTAGCTTTTTCGGCTAATTCTACATGTTTTTGCACTCATTTAAACTTTTTTCAGCCTGATTCAGCAAAAATGTGCTCTCTCCAATTCTAGTAACTTAAGCTACTTTTTGCTGTTTTAACTACTTTTCAGCTGTTTTTTGGGTTTTTTTTTTTTGCCAATTCAGCTACTTTTCAGTTATTTTCTACCTTTTTGTGCTCATTTCTGCTTCTTTCAACCTAATTGGACAAACACATGTTTGTTCTGCTTTCTTCTGCTAGTTTCAGCTTGTTCTAACTTTTCAGCTCCCTTTTTAGCATTTTCAAAGCAAATTTCAGCTGTTTTCAAATAAATTCTAGTTTTCCATGTTCATTTCTGCTATATTCAGCCTAATTAACTTGTTTATTCTAATTTCAACTTATGCTCCTTTCAGCTTTTTTTCTGCCAGTGTCAGGTTTTTCTGCTCTTTCAGCTACCATTTAGCTCTTTTGATGCTAATTTTACCTTTTTAAGCTAATTCCACTTTTTTTTTTTGCCCATTTCAGTTTTTTCCACTTTCTTTAGTTTAAGCTTCTTTTTGCCTTTTCAGCTACTTTTCAGCCTTTTTCTTGTTGCTTATTTCAGCCTTTGTTTGTAGCTAATTTCCTAATTTTGTGGTAATTTTAGCTTATTTAAACCCAATTCAGCAAATATGTGTTCTTTGTGCTTCCTTCTGTTGATTTATGCTTGTTCTTCCATTTCAGCTACATGTTTTTAGGTAATTTCAGCTGTTTTTCAGCAAGTTCTTCAGCAATAAACATTCACACTGCATTTTCACAGGGAAATGCAATTTTTCTAGTTTGAATTAATTTCTTAACATTCAGTGGTTTAAATCTTTACTCGGTGTCTAATACTCACATTCAACATTAACACGTCGGACACTTGAAGTCACTCCACTTTGTGTTTTTAGGGAGCAGGTGTAGTTTCCAGAATTTGCAGGTGATACGTTTCTTAAATCGAGGGTTTTTCCTTCATTTATGGGCTCTCCGTTCTTAAACCAGCTGAAGACGGTTGAAGGTTCGTTGCCATCGCAGCTGTTGGTGCAGCTCAGATTCACTGAGTCCCCTTCCTTTATGGATCCATCTTCATTAGACTGGAAGAGCAAAACTCTCAGATCTAATGGAGTAAAACAGTGTTTTATTTCACTTACTGATATTACTCAAAACTTTTTAACAAGTGTTTTAAATATTAGAACTTACCAACAACTGTCAATGTTATGCTTTCAATGTGACATGCAAAATTTCTGTTTTTGACTCTGACAAAGTATTTTCCAGCATGTTTATGCTCCACCTGCTCTATGTTCACTGAACAGTTTTGATCTCGATCTCCAACGTATTCAATCTGCTCAAAGACTTTTCTAAAACTGCTGCCTACAACAAAACAAGCCTTTTTATTGGGCCTCTTGTGACTCCACAAGAATCTGTTTAAGTTTTGTCTGTCAGAATTAATAAATGAGCACAGAATGAGAACAGAAGAGCCTCTCGCAGCACAGATGCGCCGTTGCTTAAACTTCTCTTGGCACATGTTGCCAAGAACTCCTGCAAGAGAAGATTCAAGTTTTGTAAAATCTTGTGATTCTGATTAATTATTAATATACAAGATAATGCATTTACCTCCCAAAAACAAAAGCAGGAACATCCACGTCAGTTTTCTGCATCCAACAAACATATTGAAGCGATGGGAGTATTGTGTCTGCTGCACAGCGTCCTGTTCTTAGGTCACCTCAAAGCTCAGCTTCTCTGCCTCTGAAAGCAGGTCACCCATCGTCTGCCTCAGCTTTTCCCACACGAGGTGCAAAATTAGTGCAGCAACGTAAATCTCATGCACACGCAGAGCAGACTGACGCTGCTTCGATGTGGTCAACGCACGCTCTGCAGAAAAACTTTGACAGTGTGAGGAAACAACTGCTGACGATGCAAGTGATCATATGAATTTGATTTTTTTCCTTTTGCTTTTATATTGTTATGTAAAGGAATGGAATTAAAAAAAAAATAGCTGAGAATGAAACCCTGTCCGTTTCAGGGTTTGTTATACAATTAAAAACGGTTAACTTCGGTTTAAAAATAGCTTGGATAGACTAGTCTCATTTAATTATTAGGAGACTTTCTATATAATCCCATATATATTAAAAAAAAAACATAAGGGAGCAAATCAGGCCCAAGACTATACATGGTAATGTTAGGATGGCACAGTGAGGTTGGACAAATAAACAAACAAATAAACAAATAGCACTTGCTTTAGGCTCTGCAGAGACTTAATGAGGATTTGCTGTTTCATCCATCTCTTCTCTTTTGTTAAGACGAAAGTTAAAAATTCCAAGATATTCTTTTATTTCTCTTCTTAATAACTCCTAAATCAGTTCTAAACTGCATGTATTGCCATGTTGCCTTGTTCAATAATGTTATTGTTGAGGTCAAATATTCCAGATGTTCATGACCCATTATGTTTATCAGTGGTTTTGTCACTAGAGGCCAGAGCGTTGTTAGAAACACGTTCATCTGTGAAGGCGGCAGCTGTTCTGGGATCTGTGTTTGCAGCAGAGATCAAATGTTTGCTGCAACTCTTTCAGATCCCGAGTCTGTCTGCACAGTCTGAACCATGAGAACCCATGATTATGATTATCCAGAGAACCTTTGAGCATGGAAAATAAAGGCTGTCTAAATTGTTCAAATTCGATATGCTCTGTATTTTTATCTAAAAGTGAAAGTTTATTAGATGTCTAAGTTTTAACTAAATAGTTTTAAGGTAAACACAAGTCTGTAGGTTTAACAGACAGCTAAACATAATTTAAATTTAGACGTAAACGTTCACTTTTAGAGAAAATTTGGTCCAGTTTTCTCTTAAATAGATATTATATGTCTTATCGTGGATCAGCAACTTTGAAAAGTACTCAGCTTCCTCTCAAACTGTCAGATGAATTAAAAAAAATAAATAAATAACAGACACTTTTAGTTCAATGTCTCATTTTGAAAGCGATCAGAATATTTGCTCCCAAATTCTCTCCAACTGTCAGTCCTTGAGTGTTTGTTCAAGTTCAATCATCTAAAGAACCCACAGCAAGTGGATGAAAAATACTTTGACTGCTCCAGCAATTAGTGCGACCCGCATCATAATCCAACATAAACAAAGCCTTCAATCAAACAAGCCTGGGGCACAAACAGGAGATGATTTCTTTTCTGAGTGACTGATCATTCACTCCGGGTGCTCTCCAACCAGCCCCCCCTCTGATGATGATGATGATGATGGTCTATAAAACACCTGGCAGAGGGCGCAGAGGAGCACCGACTTGAGTCCACTTGGAAATCCAGCAGCTTCGGACTAAAAGCATTTGGAGCTCGACATGATGGAGGCTCCCTCTAAACTCCTGATCCCAGTCTCGGTGATCCTCGTGCTGGTCGCCTTCAGTCCCACCGAGGCCTGGTACAAGCAGGCGGCCGGTCCCAGCTACTACTCCGTGGGCAGAGCGTCCGGCTTGCTGTCGGGGATCCGGAGGTCTCCGCACGTGAGGAGAGGAGAGCCGGCGGACAGCGGGGAGTCTGCGGGGGACAGAGTCGTGTCTGAGCTGCTCTCACACAGCTCCGTCCTCAAAAGAATGGTCAGTGGTCTCCGTTTGTGAAAAATCCACTTCGTCTCATCTTTACGCGTTTGTCTGCACGAGAGCGCACGAGCGCAAATCCAAGACTGCGTCATATCATCAGGATTTAACTGTTTTTAGTTCATGGTAGGATTTTAAGCATCTTGAGTAGTTCCTGTTTAGTTTTCATTTTAATTAAAATGAATTTCGTCTCAAAGGAGATGCCATTTTAAGACTGTCACGCTTTTTTTTTTTTTTTTTAACCTGTGCAGTTTATTGCTTTAAAAGCACTATAAAAAGCATGCAATGAACATTTTCATTTTTCTTTATAATACACAATATATGCAGCTGAATTTAAATACTTTACATTGTATGATTATGTCCAAGATTATTTTAATACGTTAAGAAATTCCCTACTTTATGTTTGACAGTTCAGCTTTTGCTTCCTCTTTTGTTTCTCCATTTAGCCTCTTTGTATCAAAGACATCACACCAAACCTGCAGAGCTGTGAACTCTTCCAGGAAGTCAAGGGATCACTGAGGTGCAGAGCAGACATCTTCCTCTCCCTGGACTCCTCAGACTGTGAAGCGGACTGAGCAGGATGATGATGGAGCTCACTCTGTTCATGGACATTTTTAAACAATAAATACATCTAACTTGACGAAGGCAGCGTGCTTGGTCAAATAAGTTGATTTGTCATGTTCTATCATAAACTTCATCAAAACCGTAACAGTGATGCATTTGTACATATTTGGTTTAAGTGTTGATTAATAAACTGCATTTATTATTTAAAATGCTTTAAGGAAAAGAACATAACTGTGTGACATGATTTGTGCCAGTGAAGGATGAAGGTAGGATTAAAAACAAACAAAGACCAACAGCATCACCCTGAAATCATGCAGGGAAAAGTACCAAATATTCCGCCGTACACGTCGCTCCACCCTATAAGTCGCATCAGTTCATAATTGTCCAATAAAGTGGAAAAATCCATAAATACGTTGCATCTATTATGCGTCACCACTGATAACCCGAAAATGTGGGCCGGTGTTGTACCAAAAATCTATTGGCCGCCAAATGACGGCCGTGGGAGTGTGCACGGGAGGACCTGAACAAGAATTTAACAAGGTTAACACTTAAAATCAATTATTTGTTTGCTCAAAATTATAGTAAATGTATGCTAGTTTAACATTTTCTTAATAAATGCACTTTGAAGACCAAATCAGCTGCATTTCAAGAATAGTTTCGCTGCTGAGGTGCTCCCGGGAGCGCGCAGGGGGAGAGAGAAAGGAGGAACGTGGCTCGTTTCTCCAAAATGTAATAAGAAAAGCACCTAAACAATTATTTGTTTGCTATAAATTATAGCAAAGATGTGTCTCGGTCTAACATTTGCTTAATAAATGCACTTTAATTGTCAAATTAGCTGCATTTTGCCGGGGCGGTGCAGCTGGTTTGACCATCCGTGGAGGGAAGCCGATTGTATCATTAATAGCTGGTGAAAATTCTCAGTCATCCAGGACATGGAAATTTCAAAACTGTTCAAGAAAGAAAAATAATAATAATAAAGTCCAGTTGTTTTTGTCTTGAACTTTTTTGAATTTGTCATTATAGCCACGTTTACCTATTACATGACATATTGGCATGCCATACACTGCTGCCTTCAAGTGGCTGAAAGTGGTAATGCTCATTTTTTTTCCCAGTCAGAATGAATGCAAACTGTCATATCTCAGCCAAAAATTGGTTTATAAATATGAGGGGAAAATCCATAAATATGTCGCTTCAGCCTACAAGTTGCAGGGCAAGTAAATTATGCAAAAAAGTGTGACTTATAGGGCAGAAAATATGGTAATTTGCGTTTGTTTTAGTCAATTAAATTATCTTGACAATTTTGTTATGCTCAAGGACATGAGATATCCCAGATTTGCCCATAGTTTTTCTTTAAAGAAAACCAGATCAAAACATTAAGCGAGGCAGATTAAAAAGTTCAGGGAGCAGTTCAGGTGAAGATACCAAGTGTGCATCAAATATACAGTGTCCACATGAACAGAATGATTTACCAAAACTAAAAAAAAGAATTACTGCAGGGTTAGCGTATAGAACATTTTCAGTTGAAATGAACTTCTGCTTTGGCAGAAAGCCCCCAACACCTAAAGATAAAGCACCTTGCTCAGATGGTTGTACAATTTTTTTCTTCATATTTAATAATTCAAGCAGGAAGGTAAAGAACAAAGTCAACCTTCAGCAAATGTTACAGAACAAGAACTAGGATGCTTTGGAATCGGGTCATCAGGAACAATGTGTCATGACCTGACAATATCCTCACTGCTTTAAGATCATATTTTCCCCACAAGGCCTGTTCTTCATCAAGTAAGATTATTGATCGTAACGAGGTTATCAAACATTTATAGAATAACTTCAACACTAAATGAAAACGGCAACTTCTCAGAAGTCCTGATTGTCATCCTTCACTCAAACATTCAATCGCAGAAAATATTTTGTTTGAAAAAAACAAACAAACAAAAGTTCTCTTAAATTAAAACAACTTTCAATGAGATATTGGCAAACATTTTATTAAAAACAGATTAAAAACAACAGCCTTAGTTAAATAACAAATTAATTCAGACAAACATAAAACCAACGTGATCAACAAGTGATCCCAATCAAAGGAGTCCTGTGGAGAGTGGAGACCTACAGCAGCTGGACAGCTGCTAGGTTCTCCTCAATGATCTGCTGGACCACCATGTGGAAGACGAGCTGAATGCTAGCAGCGTCTGTGGCGGTGGTGAAGTGGTGGTACATGGGCCTGCTCAGACTGCTGTTACACACCAAGAACATGGCAGTAATGTGGTGGGCTGAGGCGTCCACATCGCCGTCTGCTCCTAACAGGAAGACATGTTTGAAACTCAAAGGCTTCCTTTAGTAAATATCAACAAAACAGCTGTCTCAGTCCACAAATGAACAAAACATCAGCTCCTGTCAGTAAGTCCTGATTATGAACAAGCAGGATCCAGTCTGAATAATATGAATAAAAGGACTATAAAGTATGATCATTTCTATACAAAAAATGTTCTGTTAAAACCAGCAGGGAAAACAGTACATCCATTAAAACAATGTTTAACTCGGTGCGTCCCAACACTGGTCCTTGAGGAACACCATCCTGCATGTTTTAGTTGTTTCTCTGCTCCAACACACCTGATTCTGGGATTTAATTACTTCAAGTTCCGCAGAAGCCTTTTAATCACCTATTCATTCAAATCAGGAGTATCAAAACAGGGAAACACCTAAAACATGCAGGATGGTGTTCCTCAAGGACTAGGGTTGGGAACCACTGGTTTTATCAAAACTGAGCAAACAGATCAAACAGTAAAAGGATTATTTAGATCCTCCACTGCTGGCCCACCATATGGAAAGTATTTGAACTTAGCCCATTGAAATCTCCTCTAAATATAGTTTATATACTGTCTGTTGAAAATGTGCTGTTAAATTCTCAAATATTTACAGTTTTATTAATTTTATTTATGAAAACTTTCCTTGTTATCTCATTCTTACATTCAGGCCAAAGACAAAAGGGTTCAAAGTGGTCTACCTCTTAAAATAAAACCTTTACAAAGTGGCGTACCTTTATAGCAGGGAAGGTAAAATCTCAAGTGCCTCCCAGAATGTAGAATCTTCTCACGGAAAAGATCAACTTTGTTCATGAACAAAATCTGTAAAATGTTCCAAAAAAAAAAAAAAAGCTAAAATAAAAGCTAATAAAAGCATGGAATCATTAAGAAACCTTAGGGATGAGAAGGTGCAGTAAACATACCACAGAGGCTCGTTGGAAGATCATGTTGGTGCAGAGGGAAGAAAAAAGTTCAAGACTTTCCTGCAGTCGATTCTAATAAAGCAACATGAATACGGTTAGAGAAAGCAGAGGAATACAGATTAACTTAATAACAACATAGTTTAGCATCATATGGATTAGAAACAACATACCACTGCGTGATCCTCCAACATATCGTAGCTGCTGAGGGCCACAACAAACAACACAGCGTGAATACCATCAAAGCAACTTAGCCACTTCCTCCTCTCACTCCGCTGGCCTCCGACATCATACAATCTGTTGACAAGGAAAAACCAAAACTCCCGATTCACTGAAGAGATTTGAGACACGCCATGCGACTGCAAGGATTCAAAGGGGGGGGGGGGGTCTGTGCCCACACCACCACTACAAGCACTAGGTTTGTCACCTTTTTCATCCCTTGTGAGTTTGCAGGTATGACACTAGTATTGAGGAACACCATCCTGCATGTTTTAGTTGTTTCTCTGCTCCAAAACACCTGATTCTGGGATTTAATTACTTCAAGTTCCGCAGAAGCCTTTTAATCACCTATTAGTATTAGTGCCATGTTAGTAGTTGGCATCTTACTGATTGTGTGGGGTGGACAGGTGTCTTTATGCAGCTGACGACCTCAAACAGGTGCTTCTAATTTAGAATAATAAGTGGAGTGGAGGTGGACATTATAGAGGCGAACTAACAGGTCTTAGAATTGCTGATTGGCAGGTGTTCAAATACTTATTTGCAGCAGTAACACACAAATTATTTTAAAAATCATACATTGTGATTTTCGGATTTTTTATTTTTTTTAGATCATGTCTCACACAGTGGACATGCACCTAAGATCAAAATTTCAGACCCCTCCATGATTTCTAATTGGGAGAACTTGCAAAGTCGCAGAGTGTTCAAATACTTCTTTTCCTCACTGTAGCACCAGGTGGAGATGAGGGTCTTTGTGACACAGGTAATGAGTTTCAATTTGGGATAAAGAGTTTACAGGTGCAGGATTGACGTTCTTGTAGGTCATTGGCAACAAGGCATTTATCCTCTGGGTCAGAAGGCAGTTTTAACAAACCGGCGGCAGCAGTTCTATGTCGTGGAGAAAAGAAAATCTATCTTCTGGTGAACTTATTTAGAAGTCTGATCCTGTCTGATGGATCTGATACAATTTTGTGTTCTATAAAGAAAACAAACTGTGATTGTTTTCCAGAAAGCAAATAGTGTTTTGATCCTTCAAGAAGCTGCTTCACAGTCAGCACGTATGACGTACATGTATGGATTGTTTAAAACGATGTCGGCAGTGAACAGGGAAGGAGTCAAAGAGCACCAGAAAACTCATTCCTCAAATCAGCCCAGAGGGGCCAAAGGAAGGCAGAGTTTGAATGAGTCACTGCTGTGCTGTCTCCAGATTTGTAAAAATATTCCTGGATAACCACAAAAATAGATAACATCAATCTTTCAGGTCTGATTCACCTCTTGGAAGTCGTCTCCCAGCTCACTATTGAAAACCCTTCAAGAAGTTGATGAAGAGAGTGACTCCTAAGTTCTGAGACGTCAGCCTGAATTGAGTGTCGAGGGTTTTTCCTTTAATAATGATAACTGATTTAATTTCAGACTGTACCATTTGAGTTAGTTTAGTTGATGTAAATCAGCTTAGCTGTGCTTCAAGATGACAAACCTCTGAAGCTTCTATTCATATTGACAGAGTGTTACAGAGGTTTCCATGGAAGATCCCAAGATAGACTAAATGAAGTTTTTGAATGCATTTAAAATATATATTTATTACACTTCAAGAACTTTCAAGATTTGGAGCAAAACTCACATAACCAAACTATATGTACAAATCAGTTTATCACACTGGTATTACTGGTGAGGTCTTTATCATTGGTTTTTATTCAGTTGTGATTTTTTGTTGCACCTATTTTTAAAATCTTTATCTTGGAAGACAGACTGTACTGTCTTCATGACATAATGTCAAAGTAGAGGATCAAATCGGTCTCAAATGAATAAAAAGTTAATCATTATTTAAATACAAAAACGTAAAAATGTACTTGTAGCTGTAAAATTATCCTCCTGAGTGGCTGAGTGTGAACTAATAAAAGTCATCACTTAAAAATGATGTTGATATTAGACATGTAATGTGTCAGACAAGTCTTACCGGAAGACGGTTTTGTTAACTTGAAACTGCGTCTCAATGATTCCACACGTCCTCACTCTGACTCTCAGGACATCCGTCGCAGTGGGAACATATTTTGGAGTGATGATTCGATCCATGTTCTCAAAGAAACTGCAGAGAAAAAACATATTTCAGTCAAATTCAACTGAGTTCAGTTTATTTATATAGCGCCAAGTCAAAACAGAAGTCATTTCAGGGCACTGAACAGAAACATTCATATTATAAAAAGTTAATAACATTATTTATCTGAGGAGCAGACTGCTTTGAGTTTAACTCCATCACAGAACTCTCATCTTGAGCAAGCATGAAGGCGACAGTGGAAAGGAAAAACTCCCTCATGAAGAAGAAACTTTTAGCAGAAACAGACTCGGGACAAGTGGCCATCTGTGAGGATCAGTAAGGAGGAACAGATACACAATGGCAGGTCGAAAATCACATGTTAAGATAGAAATAATATCAAATTAAAACTATTCAATTATAATCATTAGTTTAAGGAAATTAGGTCAGTTTGTCCTCTAGTAGTCTAAGCCTATAGCAGCATAACAAGCCAACCCTAACTATAGGATTTATAAAATCGTAAAGTCTTAAGCCAAGTCTTAAAACTGTACAATGTGTCAGTCTTACAGACAGGAACTGGAAGTTGGTTCCACAAGAGAGGAGCCTGATAACTGAAAGATATTCCTCCCATTCTGCTTTTGGAAACTCTAGGAACCACAAATAAGCCTACAGTCTGAGAGCAAAGTACTCTGTCAGGAAAATATGGAACAAAAAGATCTGCAATATAAGATGGAGCTAGGCTGTTGAGCACTTTGTAGGTTAGAAGTAACATTTTGCATTCAGTTAAAACAACTCGTGTCTGGTTTTAAGATTTGCTTTGCTTCTTTTTAATAAACAATTTCTAACTTTAAAAACAACCTGAAGGCAGAATAGTGACAGAAAATACGTTTATATAAATCATAAAATCTAAATTAAAATAATCAAACATTAACCAGGCCTAAAGCTAGAGTGAGACTTCAATACTAACTTTATGAAACCAGTTGTGTAATTTGTTATTTTGTTTTGACTGGTTGAACCCCAAACTTAAATACGTACATAATCATTTTAAAAAATGTGCTCCAAATTGATTCATTTCTCACAATGTCTGAAACAAAAGGGGGCAAAACATACTTGTAAGCATCTGCTATTAGAAATGTTACACGTTGGCAAGTGAATAAAGATTAATAACCAGTTCGCTTAAATGGTTTCAAACTTTACATCAAGTGATGAGGCAACTTCCTGTTGATGCGTCAAACTCCCTTTTAGCAACAGTAAATGTTCAGTTCAAGCCTGCGTTGCTGCCAGACAAGTCATTTTACACATTTAGCCGCCTGGGGAAGCCAAGTGTGTCACGACACAGTCTAATCCAACATTTCAGGAGGGAGAAAAATCAATGCTGGGTCCTGCAAGGTGAGACGACTGAAAGAGAGTCAGACGAGTCTCATATAATCCTCCAGCTCCCAACTTTATAGAGTTCCAATAATGAAGCTGTCACACCTCCATCTTTCTCCGTCTGGCCACCTGGAGTAGATTTTATCTTGACTGATCGCCTCCTTGTTGCCTCTAAGATAACAGGTTCAATTTTACCCATCGAGTCCACATTCATCTAAGGAAAGAAATCTGTTTTTCATTAGAAACAGCATGCAGCTCAAGACACGGTGGATTTTATTCATGACGTTTCTACCGAATCCAACAGGTATTCCAGCAGGTAATAGAAACATAAAAATATTAAATATGAAAAACGAACAATAGAGTTTCACAATCTCTTAGTCATTGGAAATAAAAAAATAAAATGTATAATTGGGCCAAAAAAGTCAATTTTAAGACCATTAAAGAAATTCATTAAACTAAATAACCAGTTTGCAAGTACATTTTTCCACATAACGCAATGAGCGTTAATATTTTAAACAAGTGCACGTTACTGCACACTGAGGGGAGGGACAATACAAACATCCCACCTGATTTGAAAACACGTTTTCAGTCAGTTTAAAAAAAAAAAAAGATTATTTTATTTCAACCGACATCCAACCTTCCTCTTTTACTGAAACATTTACAGTTTACAACTGTTCACAAACATTTGATTGTAAAGAGTAATTGTAATTTCGGATGACAAAACATTTCTGATCACAACATACTTTCTTAATCACACCCTTTGATTATAATAGTAATTATTATAGAGATTAAAACACATTAATTCACTTAATGTTTCTTAAGCTCATAAGAACCACTCAATAAATAATTTAACCCTCCTCCTTTGATCACAGAGTGTTACAACAAAGATTAATTATTATAGGTACATAAAAATATCTTGATTATTACAATAAGTTTTAACTTTGGACAGACATCATTCTTTATTCAACATTATCAAGCTTTCAAGCTTGCACTTTTCCTAGACCTGTCTAAAGCTTTCGATACTGTGGACCATGACATCTTGTGTCATAAGCTCTCAGAAACTGGTTTCTCAGATCACACCACTGGTTGGTTCTCTATCTTTCAGATCGGAGGTTAATCCCATTGAGCCTCGGGACCTCATTTACAAGAGAGACCTGATTTCTTAACAAAGAGTGATGACAACAATGGACAGTCATAAAATGGGCATACAAATTTAAGTTGATTTTTTTATTTATTTACAAAGCAAAACAAAATAGCAACCAAAAGGACAATGAAGAGGAATAGTAGCAAAAACAAACAAACAACAAAAAAAAAAACCAGCTAGATTTTAAGGCGATTTAGAAAACTAAAAACAGGAACATGTCTGCATTGGCTTTTGCCAGGAACTTTGTGAAGTGCATCAGTCCCTCCTGCAGTAAAACAACCCCACAACATAATGCTGCCACCCCTGTGTTTCACAGTCAGGATGGTGTTCCGAGGCTTTTTCCTCCAAACGTAACGATGGTCATTATGGCCAAACGGTTCAATTTTAGTTTTGTCAGACCACAGGACATGTCTCCAAAAATTAAGGCGTTTGTCTTTGTGTGCACTTGCAAACATTAATCTGGCTTTTTTTTATGTTTATTTTGAAGTAATGGCTTCTTCCTGGCAGCGTGGCCTGTCAGCACTAATGACACACTCTTACCAGCTTCAACCAGCATCTTCACCAGGTCTTTTGCTTTTGCTCTTGGGCTGATTTGCACATTTCGGACCGAAGCGTGTTCATCTCTGGGACACAGAACCAGTCTCCTTCCTGGGCGGTATGATGGGTGGACATTCCCATCTTGTTTGTACTTGCGTATAATTGTTTGTACAGATGAACGAGGCACCTTCAGACATCTGGAAGTTGCACCCAAGGATGAATCAGACTTGTGCAAGTCCAGTTCTCTTCCTGATATTCTGGCCGATATCTTTCAACTTTCCTATGATGTCACACAAGGAAGCAGTGTGTTTTAGGTATTCCTTAAATTACATCCACAGGTGGCTGTAATTAACTTAGATGTTATCAATAAACTTATCAGAAGCTTCCAAAGACACGACATCAATTGTCCCAAATTGTTTAAAGGCACAGTAATCTTAGTGTATTTAAACTTTTGACTTTGAAGAAAGTAATAAATATTGACTTAAAAAATTATCACTCATTGTTCTGGCATTGTGCAAATAGAAAACATTTTGATAATCCTAACTGACCTAAAACGGGAAAAGTTTATTTTGATTTCACGTCAGACAATGTGGAAAAAATGCATACGTGTCTTTTTGAACAGTGTATGTAAACTTCTGGTTTCAACTGTATCACCAAATAATGTTGTTTTGTTGGCGCACAGGGCATGTGATGGGACTTTCAGAGGGTTGAGGTGAGATTTAATGACACTTTACAGGCCACTGGTTTTCATTAGAGCCTAACTGCATTAATTCCAGCATCTGCAGTGTTAATTTTTATTGATCAGAGGCATCATTTCTAATCAAACCATCCCTCTCCATTCAAGCACTGCCGTTTGGCTTCTCATTCGCCAACAATTTAGTCTCTTTAATCACATTTGTTTATCCTGCTCCACCCTGCCACCAACCTGGAAATCTACAAACAAGTTTTATTTTTGTGGTCCTAATTAAGCCTCCCATTTCACAAATGTCACACAAACCTTTTTCCCGAGAGTTATTCTCAGCGCTGCGTTTAGTGTTGCTCTGCATTTACAACAACGCTTCCAACCGAGCAATTTACCGAGACATTTCCACCTTCTGTCATAATTGGGGGGTGTTTTGCATCACAAATGACTTCAGATCGGTGTACTCACTAGAGGGCAGAGTCGTTCAGCTCGTACTCGTAGCCTCTGGCTGCAGCGGCGCGCACGGCCTCGTCGCTCCAAAGTGCACAGAGAGCCTGCCCCACAGAATGAAGCAGCTCCTGGTCTTCGCCCAAACACTGGCTGCAGGACAGGATGGAGCAAGCGTGCATCTGGAGTTAAAATAATAAAACAGCGCACATTTTGTTTGAAACAAATCGCGCTCATCAGTTGCAGATTTTACCATCTAAATGTAGAAATGCACACGTAGGACTACGGGTCCAGTTCCACATGAAAAAGTTGATCTGCCGTGTGATTTGAGCAAGAAGCGTTCTTACTAATATCTGGGATGAATCCAAGCTATTCAGCTCACAGACCTGGCTGATTTAAGACTTAAATATCCTGGATGATTTAATAAATTACATGTACTCAACTTAATAAGACAAATTAAAACGACATGTAGTGCTTCAGACGCCAGTGCTGGTTCTGTCATTCAAAGTCTGACATCTAGTGTGATAAATAGGAGTTGCAAAAAGTCAGATCTTTTTCATTCATTCACCTTGTTGTCCTCGTTTGTGACATTTATTCGCAGCTGGCCCATTCCACGCAGAACAATCTTCATGGATGTCAGGAGGTTGTCCAACACTGCAGGCTTTGAACAGCACATTTCATTTTACTTAATGTTCTGGGAAAACAGGGTTTTGTGCCACTTTGATATCTTAAAAGATAAACCGTTGCCTTCTTGTCCTGTACCTTGAAGCTGATGAGCTCCGGTTGGGAAAAGCCATGGCTGTGTATTATCTTGATCTGTTTGATTACGGTGCTCTTTCCACTCTCTGCAACTCCTGCAACACAAAACAAATTTAAACACCAAAAGAATTCAGACTTAAACTTCTTCCAGGGCTAATATTCCTTGATGGGATGCATATCGCCTGTTGCGTTTCATTCCAGATCATTTTATTTAGAGAAATGATGGTGGTAGCCGTTTCGGTAAAAACCTTGAACGTTATGCTCATTATAAGACGTCATGCTCAGACTACATGTTGTAAATGATTTTCAGCTACTACCACAATAAATTGCAGCATAAAGTCTGTAAAACTGACTTTATTACAGCCACTTGTGGGTTGGCTAATGTCAACTAGCCATGGCAGCCATATTGAACTTCACTCTCAAAATTAATCAGTTAGAAGAACCGTCAATGGTTATATTCTGAATGTTTCTGTATAATCCACAGTATATTTTTCCAACAGGGAAACTGGGTTGACTCCAGCAGTTAATGTCAAATATTTGACACAATGAGCACTTGGCTGTATGAGTTGGGATCAGTCTCCGCTACTACCACCCTGACAGAAACGTACCCAGCATGAGGATTTTGATGACGCTCCTCTCAGCTTTGGCTTGTTCGAGAAGTTCTTGTTCAATATTAGAGCTCTTCAGTTGGGCTCTTTTACTTTCTTCTGTGACATCCTGCCCAAGGCACATCCCCAGACAGATCTGAGCAAAATAATTGAATAAAAAGTGGATTTTATTCCAAACGACATGAAACTATTAGGAAATGATATGCAGCGAGACCATACTCTAGTACTGCAAACATTTTACTATATTTAAAATGTAAAAGGGGGGAAACTTTAATTTTTTTTAATGATTATGCAAGACTATTTTAGTGATTCTAGGGGGAATAAAACCTTAAAATTCTTTACAAGTATTAAAACGTGCCCATAAGGAATTTATAAGATATATATACACATTATTAAATGTAAAATTTATTCCCTGCCATAGTTTAAATCATGATAATGTTCACTTTTTACGAGTTAGCTCTAAGTGTAAACAACAAGTAAGCAATCCTATTTTTAAGAACATTTAATTTGGGAGACAATTAGTTAATTTATTTAGATTAAAAGTCGCTTTTACCTGCAGCGGAAGTGGAAGTATTTTTAAACAACAAAACATTTCTTTGATGTTTGGATTTCCCGCCGTTTGTTTTACATTAAAAAGAAAATCAATTACCAACAAAAACTGAATTTTGTTTCGTTTTGGGTCATTAAAGCGAAAAGTGCAGAAGCTTAATTAAAATCACGTGTGTACGGCACTCCTTCAAAATAAAAGCGAACGGAAAACAGGAAACTGGATCCTTTCTAAATAAACTTCCGCTTTTGTTTTACGTAATTGTCGCCGTCTTTGGATCCTTGTGAGAAAAATGTTCAATCGTTTCTGTTTAAAAAAAAAAAATTAGTCACAACTCTTTGTCCCTGTAATCTGCCTGATGTTTGTTAACAAACATCATTTAATCAAGTTCTAAAAATAAACTCTGAGCAGAAATATCCTGAAGCACGCTCAATAATCCAGGTAGAAAAATCTAAAAAAGTTAAATCTGGTCCTCTGGACATTCAAAAAACAAAACAAAACAAAACAAAATGTAGAAATGTTTCGTCTTTCATCCGAGAGACTTCCTCAGCCTGAGGTGCTGTATTCAGCTCAGTCTCTTAAATAGCACCTTCTCAGAGTGGATCAACCAGTTTTGCTGCTGACAACCAAAACCAGCTGATCACATGCTCAAGAAGGACCATCAGCCTAACAATGGATCATTAGCACACTGATGGCTGTTTACTATTCACAGAGTGATACTAGCAATCACAGCATTGTAAGAGGGGGACAGTTGAACACGGAGGCCTCCACCCCTGTTTAATGATGGTTTCTTTTCTCTCAAACCATCGTTCCTCTCTGTCCAGGATGTGCACATCTTCATCCCTGAAAGAGTGACCGCTGACCTGGAGATGAGTGTAGACCGCAGAGTCCTGGCCTGATGATGTTGATCTTCTGTGCTGGGCCATCCTTTTGGCCAGTGGCTGTTTAGTTTCCCCGATGTAAGACTGATCACCCTCCTGACACTGAACAACATACACAACATTACTCTGTTTGTGCCGGGGGACTGGATCTTTGGGATGAACCAGTCTTTAATGTATTTTGGGGTTTAAAAGCCACTGGGACGTTATGTTTAGAAAATAAACGTCTCAGTTTCTCTGATACTCCCTCAACATACGGAATGACCACTGGTCTGGGTCTGGGTTCCTCCTCAGGGCAGAAATGTGTTTCCACTCAAAGGTGCTCCACTTTATGGAAGCCCGTTTCCGCCAAGGAAAAGAAATATAACGTTCAATCTTGCATTATATTATGAGATACAACATCAAAATTTCAACTTTTAAAGTCATTTGACATTAAAAGTCAAAATTTTGACTTTCAGCATCATAATTATGAGATACAAAGTCTAAAGTTTGACTTTGTCATAATTATGAGATACAAAGTCAAATTTTCAACTTTCAGTCATAATTTTGACTTTGAAAGTCAAAGTTGTAATTATGAGATACAGTCCAATTTGTGACTTTCAGTCATAATTTTGACTTTCACAGTTGAAATTTCAACTTTCAGCGTCATAATTATGAGATACAAAGTCAAAAATTTGACTTTCAAAATCGTAATTATGAGATACAGTCAAAATTTTGACTTTGTCATAATTATGAGATGCAATTTTGACTTTCAAAGCCATAATTATGAGACACAAAGTCAAAAATTTGACTTTCAAAGCCATAATTATGAGATACAAAGTCAAAATTTGAACTTCGTCATAATTTTGACTTTCAAAGTTGAAATTTAAACGTTCAGTGTCATAATTATGTGATACAAAGTCAAAATAAGTCATAATTTTGACTTTGAAAGTCAAAAATTTTTACTTTCAAAGTCAAAATTATGAGACAAAATCAAAAATTTGACTTTCAACATCATAATTATGAGATACAAAGTCAAAATTTCGACTTTCAAAGTCGAAATTTCAACTTTCAGTGTCATAATTAAGAGATGCAAAGTCAGAAAGTCGAAATCTTGACTTAGAAAGTCAACATTTTTACTTTAAAAGTTAACATTTTTATTTTGTATTTCATAATTATGACCATATTACCATAATAAATAATTATTACCATTTTTAGTTTTATTAATTTCATTGGCGGAAACAGGCGTCCATACCTTTAAGTCCAAAACACAGACTTGCTTTTCTTTGAATCCTATGAAAATAAATAAAAAATGACACTTGGCATACATCTTCTAAGTAAAATCAAGACATGAAACACTTTCTGGCAATACCTTTTTATTAGCAATAATATACTGTAAATCCAATCATTTCTATATTATATGTCAACTGGGAGCGATCAGTAACAACACATCATAATCTACAGTAAACAGCTTGACAAAGACACGTGGGAACAGCAGTTCACAGAGTGGAGAGGAGTAAAATACACATCTACCAAAAAAAAGGTATATTATTATTCATTCCATCTGATAAAGACACAGAAGTTAAATTACTCTGGATTTAAGAGACTGTATGAAATGCGCTCCATGTTCAAGGCAACAACACTTAGCATTTGTTAGGTTTCTTTAGTTACACCATGGAAGTTGCAGGTCAAACATGTAATTATCTTTATGTATTAACTCTAAGACAGTCGTACTCAAAAGGTCAAACCTTCAGGGGTCAACAGTGTGCATCTTTGAGTAAGAAAAACAAGAATAGTTGTTTTGAACAAAGTACAGAGAAGAAGGGAAACGTCTCCTCTGATCGTCTAGTGGTTTCTACAACCTGCAGAGAGCCTATAGTCACTTTCTAATACTTCCATAGATAGATGCAGTATATATACACATGGATTAGATGTGGGATTAGGCTCATCGCTGTACAAAAAGCAGCAACAGCCTCGTGGAAATGACTACTCACATCACTTCCTTGTTTTATATTTAAAAGTTTGACCAACATCTCAAGTCTGCACACAAAAGTAAATAATAAAAGTTGTTTTTTTTTTTTTAAGGCAAATAATAATAAAGGTTTAAAATGTCCAAAGACATAAAATATAAATTTCAAGATATGTATTTATATTCATAACATCTTCTTTGTTCTGCCTTATTATTTATGTTGCTCCACCAACACACATGATGGGCCCACAGCAGAACATCCAGGTTTAACACTCCACTGCTGTTGTTCACCAGCATCATGTGGAGAGAGCGTTGGTTTTCCTGTACACCAGTTGAACTTAGCTGGTCAGTGTTGAGTTAGAAGCGCAGACGTTGATGCCTTAGAGCAGAGCTTGGGCTCTTTCTTTACTCTTGTCCTCCTCTTGTCGCTTCATGGCCTGGATCACAGCCATCTCTTTGGCTTCCTTCTTCTGGTTTCTCGCCTCAAACAGCAACCTGAATTGAACCATTGAAATAAAGGGAATAACCATTACATGACTGCATGTTTCCAATATATTGTAAGCATTCCTTTAAAGAAAAGCCTGGCCTTTCCTTGCACCTGTTTTTGATTATTCTTTGCACAATTGCATCCGTTGTAAGGCTGTTCCCACTGTCGACAGTTCGGAGTATCCCTCTTCTCCTCGGCTCCTACGTATGAAGAGAATATGATCCGAGCAAACTGTCAGTAAAGTCTCATCAAGAGCTTCTAAAACAAACGGGTGCACATGGCAGTAACTGGATTCTTACAGCGTAAGGATCAGACCCATCTCTATCGGGGTATATCGCTGTCTTCCCGTGGCAAACAAGATCCACCTGAAGACACGAAGCCATGATGAGTAAACAGCTGTTTGTTTTTAAACGCTAACCACACGGACGTGTAAGATCAGTGTATTTTCTTGCCTTGAAATGATCCAGCAAATCTTTTGTGACCGCGAAGGGCGCACCGATCACCACTTCTGATACATACTGCAACGAAACAGATCAGATCAATTGAAGCACAGCATTTGTGCTGGCGACAAACGATGACGAAGAAGATCTTACTCTGCAAGCCAGGACGCTCAGTGTCCTCTCGTGGACATTCATGATGGGGTAGTTCTTCCTTTTGTAACGATTTACCTCCTGAAAAGCACGAGGAGCCGTAGAACAAACGCCCTCTCAGCGAAGAGGTGAAGATCTTAAATGAGTATATAAAAACCTACTTGATCAAAGTGCAGCCCCACTATGATGTACGGCTTCTCTGCTAGCTTGTGCACCGCTTCCAGGAAGTCCACGTGTCCAATGTCTGGAAGGAGAAGAGTCAAGGAGGACAGGGACTTTTGTCAAGCTGATCGTTTTGGTGCTTTCTTCTGAGCTGAAACAGTTCATGACTGTATGAGTTTCATTGTTCTCTTAGATATCCAACAATGTTTAGTCAGGTCATCTGGGCAGTTTATTATTTTGTTGAAACGTTTCGTCTTTCATCCGAAGGACTTCATCAGTCTGAGGAGCCACAACAAACTCAGTCCCTCAAGCAGCACACTCACATAGTGGGTCAACCAGTTTGCTGGTGATAAGATGGTTTCTGGGGCCCGCCCTCTCCCCTGTCGACTCCTCTGAGGCAGCCATAGTCAAAGTGGTTCAAAACATCAAAGTTCATGCTCAATAATCCAGATTTAAAAAATCCAACAAAGTTCAGTCATGTCCTCTGGACGGTTTCATTTGTTGTTGAGACGTTTTGTCCTACACTAGTGGGATCACAAACTGGCCCACTCACATAGTGGGCAACACAATGGCTCAGTGGTTAGCACTGTTGCCTCACAGAAAGGAGCTCCTGGGTTCAATCCCCGGTTAGACCCGGGGTCTTTCTGTGTGGAGTTTGCATGTTCTTCTCGTATTTGCGTGAGTTTTCTCCGGGTACTTCGGTTTCCTCCCACAGACCAAAAACATGCTTCAGGTCCAGGCCTCCTTTGCAAAAGAGATCTGTGATCTCAATGGGATTTGTCTGGTTAAATAAAGGTTAATAAAACAACTCTATGTGGCTGTAATGCTTGTGGGACTGAGTTTGTTGTGGCTGCTCGGACTGAAGAAGTCCTTTGGATGAAGGACGAAACGTCTCAAAAACAACAACAAAAAATCTGTCCAGATGACCTGACTGAATTTTGTTGGATTATTTTTTTTTTTTTACCTGGATTATTGAGCATGAACTTTGATGCTCTTGGATATATTTTGGTTATCTGTTTTTAGTTTGTTATAATTTGTGAAGCGGTTTGTGAATGTATTGTTTTAGTTTGAAACCCAATGCAAAGATTGAATTTAAAATAACATCTGCAGAAAGTTAAGGTTCGTTTCTGAAAGGATACGAAAGAGGTCGAAGGCTCCTGCTACGTAGATGATGGTGTCTCCCAGCTGAGGTTCCTGGCCTGAGGCAAACTGAATGATCTTCTGAGAAGTCTGCAGGAACTGCGACACTCCTGTCCAGGGACTGTGGCCCTTCTGAACACATTAACCAAACTAAATAAGTATAAATGAATGGAGCAGCAACAGTACAGATAAACTCCTTGATATTTCTGAGGAAAATTCATCTTTATGTATCTTTATGTAGCATCACTGCCACCTAGTGGTGAAAGTTGTTCAAAGCAAACTGAAAGCTGGTCCAAAAACCCTTGCCAAAGTAACACCATTTACTCTTCCTGTCCTAATTGTTCAAGCTCTTAACTGTTTGCCAGTGAAAGTTTACTGGCTCTGCCCATTCAGGAACAGAAGTGGCATTCACAGTTTGCTGGCAAAGCCTGCTAAATGATTACTAAGTAGGTCTAAAACAAAGACCTTTGCTCAATAACGGCTGACATCTGGCCCAAAGGGCAACTTTTCCTACTTCAGTGTCAGAACTATGAGGAAAGAAGAAGAATTAATAGCCAGAATTGTTCCACACAAATCCCACTGGCAGGTTTGGCTGCGAGTGGAGGGTTTTATATCGCTCCGATTCAGCTTTACCTTTCCAAAGTTGTCTTTATGCTGCTGATAGTCTGAACTGTCCTGGAAAGAAAAGAGGAGAAAATTTGGTTTGTCCTGTCGAGTGAGCGCACAAGTAGGGAATTTGGCAGAACTCACGATGTTGCTGTGGTGTGCTTTGGTCATGAGCAGCATCCTGCCGACGAGGTCTGTGGTTGAAACTCCCTGCGTCCTCTTACACTCTCTGCAACAACGCAACACACTGTGTGAGTGCATCCAGAAACCTCAAAGCCAGCTTGTTTCTCTGCACATTTGAACCGAAACGCTCACCTGTAGCGTCCCGACTTCTTCACCTCTTCGTACGTGTCTTTCCCATCTACAGTTAGAGTTATATCATCTGAAACAACACGACACACTCGCAGTTGTTCATAACTTTAATATTAGCCTAACTCAAAGCAGCGCGATAATTTCCTACCTCCGTGCACGCAGAAGTCACAGCTGAACTTGTCGAGCGTCTCGAGGGTTGTGACGTACGGGGCTCCTTCTACAACTTCGTCCACCCATTTGATGGCCCGGACCATCTTGTATCGTTCTTCCTGAGTGAAAACTGGTGGGCCCTTGTGCTTAGCAATCTCACCTTTAAAGCAAAATGAAGAAATCAAGAAGAAAAGGTGTCCCGATTATTCCAACTGCAATAAAAGGGTCTACCGTACTTGCTGTCGTACACGTCATATCAGTCCAAATATGTCCAATAAAGGGGAAAAAACATAAATAAGTCACTTTGCTGTATAAGTCGCATCTGTTATGCGTCACCGCTGACCACCTGGAAATGTGGGCCGGTGTTGTGCCAAAAATTGATTGGCGGACAAATGGCGGCCGCAAGAACGTGCACGGGAAGACTTTAACAAGAATTTAACAAGATTAACACTTAAAAACAATGATTTTTTTGCTCGAAATTATAGTAAATGTGTGTCTCAGTTGAACTTTTCCTTAATAAATGCACTTTAATGGTCAAATCAGCTGCGTTTCACCTGGGCGGCGCGGCGAAATGCAGCTGATTTGACGTTTGCTCCATGAGTTTGGATGTGAGACGAAGGTGGCTTGGTATGGCAAGCCAAGAGTCTTAATTAATAGCCACTTTTACCTATTAATGAGACACTTGGCTTGCCATATTGCTCGAGGGACCTCTAGTGGCTGAAAATGGTAGTGTTCTATATTTTCAGTCAGAATGAATGAAATTATCAGATCTCTGCCAAAAATTGAGTTATAAATTTTGGAAAAAACATGTATTAGTCGCTTTGCTGTATAAGTTGCAGAACTCGCAAATTTATGCAAAAGGTGCGACTTATGTAGCAAAAATACGGTAACTTAAAATAGAAATGCCCTCGACTCAATGGATGTGCAGCAACGCGAGATGTAAGGACGTGATCAGTGACCTGCAGTTCACTAAAATGATGTCTGAGTTGCTTTAGATGGAGAAAAAACTTCCTTCTTTGGTGGCCACAATCTGATTATTTGTTTACTTGACCCACAAATCTTTCCAGCCCCTCATATTGAAGAGCACACTGACCTCTGTTCACGGCGTGTACTCGCTCCCTGCAGAGAATAAGAATCAGCATGTGCAGCATGCGTGTCTCGAGACAACAACATGAGCAGCAATCACGAGCAGAGAAGTGACTGCACGCCCCGTAAGAAAGCTCATCACATTTCTGAATCTTTAGGTAACGACATCACATGGTTCTAAGACCTAAAGCCTTACTGTCTGTGTGCACTCCAACGATGAGGTACTCCCCCATAGCTTTGGCCTGTCGCAGCTGGTTCGAGTGGCCGTAGTGCACCATGTCATAGCTGTGAAGGAAAAAAAAAAACGCTTAAGCGTGTACAAAAGTTACATACTGTAGAAACTTGAAGGATTGTTTTTAAAACCTTGAGGAAGTCGACGATAAGGAAAAAAAGCATTGGCTTAGTGCAGAGGTCTGCAACCTGCGGTTCTGGAGCCACAAGTGGCTCTTTGGTCCCTCTGCAGCGGCTCCTTCAGACTCTGACCAAAACTAACATAAAACTGAATTTTAATTAAATTATTGCCAACAATGAAAATGGCTAGGTTTAGCAGATTTCCTGTCATTTTCAAGTATGTGAAGAATAGTACAAATCCAAGGCGTAAAACATGTGGACTACGTCATGCTAGTAGGTTGTTAGCCACTTTAAGTCTCACAGCGTGATCTTTCTCTCAGAACCACAAGAATGCTTTGGAATATCTTCAAGACAAGTTGATGAGAAGGAATATTTGATGACACAAAGAATAAAACACAAAAATCAAAGTCAAAGTAAACAAAAGTGTTTATTTTGCTTCAAAAATGTAACTGGATATCCAACAAACTGGCCTAATTTTATACTGTCTTTAACTTTATGCTTTAAGTAGGATATTTAATTGTTCAACAGTTAAGAGAACTCACATCAGCCTGTAGATTTCAGTGTTTTAAGTTTTATAAAATTGAAAAAAAAACTATATATTTTTTCTTTCTTTACATGAATCTGGTCTTTTCTTTTGCATTAAAATGTAAAAATATTAATAAATGTTCATAATAGTTAGACATTTTTCGTTTTATAATATCACCCCCACTGGATGGAAAAGCCATCTCGAACCAACTACCGTATTTTTCGCTGTATAAGTCGCACCTTTTTGCATAAATTTGAAAGTCCTGTGACTTATACACCGAAGTGACTAATATACATTTTTTCCCAAAAAATTTATAACTCAATTTATGGCTGAGATCTGATGATTTCATTCAATCTGACATGGGAAATATTGAACACTACCATTTTCAGCCACTAGAGGGCTCTCGAGCAATATGTCAAGTCAAGTGTCTCATTAATAGGTAATAGTGGCTATTATTGAGATACTTGGCTTGCCATACCAAGCCACCTTCGTCTCACTCCAGAACTCATAGAGCAAACGTCAAATCAGCTGCATTTCGCCGCATCACCCAGGTGAAATGCAGCTGATTTGACCATTAAAGTGCATTTATTAAGGAAAAGTTCAACTGAGACACAGCTTTGCTTTTACTGCGAGCAAACAAATAATTGTTTTTAAGTGTTAATCTTGTTAAAGTCCTCCCATGAACGCTCCCGTGACTGTCATTAGGCAGCCGATCGATTTTTGGCACAACACCAGCCCACATTTTCGGATGGTCCGAGGTGACGCATAACAAACGTGACACATCAGCGGTGATACAATACATAATACATGCGACTTATACGGTGAAGTGACTTAATTTATGGTTTTTTTTTTTCCACTTTATTAGACATACTTGGACTGATGCAACTTATACGGCGGAAAGTACGGTAGTGGTTCACGGGCCACCAGTTGACAGTACAGAGTTGTAGCAGGTTTTGTGGCTCCTGACATCATAATTAGTAGGCAAAGTGGCAAAAATGGCTCTTTTTATCAAAAAAGGTTGCAAACTTCTCGTTTAGTTATACTTAAAAAAGACTTGGCAGTTGCCCACAACTCAACAGATGCCAACTTTACCTTCAAAAATTACAACGCACTTTGTTTATGAACAATTTTTTTTAAACAGAGCTTTATTACATTTACACTGTTCAGTGAGTTTGACTGGTGCACTTTTTATGATCTGACAAAGAGTCGACCATAAAAGCGTGACAGCTACAAAACTGACTGTGGATAATTAGATTAGCGCAGATTAGACTGAGGTTGCAAAGCCATAATCTCTCAAAGTGAGAACAGATGCACATTAGTCTCCTATCAGGGCCCCAAGCAACTTAATATTAATAATAACTTAATATTTCATTTCTTCTCTCTGCTTTGACCAGAATCCTGGAAGGAAATAACTACAGGATAATAACAGTGTTGTGACACCATACATGTGAGAACATGTAACGGTCACTAAATGCCTCAGCTGCCATTTTCACCAGTAAAAAACCTATCTGACAAGACATGACGTGCATCCAGATCATAACCCGGATTCAAAAGACGCTTGTTGCCATGAGCAGGGAATCTTGTGTTTGGGTTCCAAGCTGGAGGTGCTCTTAGGTGACGGAACAGGCTGAGAAGAATGCAAATAAGGAGCCGCCAGAGTGGAATGAGAAGAGATGAAAACTTATTGGGTTACCCAAGAGCGGGAGGCTTCTGTCTTTCTTTGGTGGTGGGGAGTTTATTTATGCCAGTGAGATACTGTTTTGCTCCTGTATTTTTTATCAGGAATAGATCATGAGCGTATCACTGTGAGCTGATGAAACTTTAATTAGGGGAGCCTGTTAGCAGACACCCAAATGGCACCGAAGCCTCTGAAGGGCAGCAACCTGAAGACATCTGTGTGCGCGACGACGCAGTGTGAGGGGAACGTTAACTAACACCAGGAGTTTGAAACCGAGCTGAACCCTTGGGCTGATCCAAGATGGTAAACTTGAAATCAATGAGCGATACTCTGGTGTGTTGACACTCTGCAGTGGACTTTACACTCCTCCCTGATGATGCTTCTCCTTGCAGTGATCTTTAAACCCTGTCACGCTTCAGTGTGACAAACAAGAGCATGCATGGAAAAAGCCCACAAGTTCATGTGACTGTGATCTTTCCTTGGAATTTTCCTCTCGAGCCGCTGACAAAGCAGGAACCAGCAGGAGCACCGGGAGGTAGCAGCCGGAGCAGGTGTGGACCGGAGGGGTTAGAGGGGTTAACGGCACAAGCTCTGTTGACATTAGCTTTCTTTGCATGCTCACCCCACCGATTAATATTTAGGCATCCCAAATATTCCTTGACATGCCATGAAACCGTAGATACGCAGCCACACAGAAATGGCAGGAATTCTGCGAGAGAAAGGCCATAATCCTGGTCTTCATATACAGAAATTCAAACCATGTGTTTGGAAGCAGCAGCACGCCACATGCACCAAGACCTGGCCTTTTCACTCGCAGGACACTTTGAGCTAAACTGAGGATTATTTTCCCAGGTTATTCATAGAAAAACTTTTGTTGAAATATTTCTAGAACTCCCATAAAACAATAAAAAAAAATGCATGATTTTTCCAGGAAAAAAAGTAAAATATAACTAGAGAAACTTTATGTGAAAGTGTAGCGTGAACACTGAGAGCTAAAGGACAGCTGAAATCTGCTGAAGAAGGCAAAAGTGAGTTGATAAAGCTAAAAGGAGCAAAAACAACAGCTGAAAGCTAGAAGTAAACATTACCTAAAAGAAGCAAGTGCTAGTTAAAGTAGCAAATAGCTAACTAAAAACTATATACATTATAACAAAGCACTAGATAAAAGTAGCAAAGCGATAGCTAGAAGCTAAAAGTAGCAAAATCTTGATTAAAAGCAAAAAAAAAAAGGGCATCAAGTAGCTAAAATCTAAAATTAGAAAAATACTATTTAAAAGCTAAATTTCCCAAAAGACTAGCTAAAAGCCTATTGTCGAGGAGGCTAGTTAAAAAGCTAAAAGTAGCAAATAGTTAGCAGCTAAAAGTAGCAAAGACCAGTTTAAAAGCTCAAAGTATGAAAAGCATGGGTAGGTAAAAGCTAAAATTGCAAAAGTTTACCTAAAAGCTAAAAGTAGCAAAAGTCTAGTTGAAAGCTAAAAATAGAGATGGCTAGCTAAAAGTAGCAAAAGTCCACCTAAAAGCTAAAAGTAGAGATGGCTAGCAAAAAGCTAAAAGTAGCAAAAGGCTAGCTAAAAAATACAAGTAGCAAATGGTTAGCTAAAAGATAAAAGTAGCAAAAGGCTAGCTCAAAAATAAAAGTAGCAAAAGGCTAGTTGAAAGCTAATAGAGATGGCTAGCTAAAAGTAGCAAAAGTCCACCTAAAAGCTAAAAGTAGAGATGGCTAGCAAAAAGCTAAAAGTTGCAAAAGGCTAACTAAAAGATGAAAGTAGAGAAGGCTATCAAAAAGCTAAAAGTAGCAAAAGTCTACCTAAAAGAAGCTAAAAGTAACAAAAGGCTAGCTAAAAGATAAAAGTAACAAAAGGCTAGATAAAAGTAGCAAAAGTCTACCTAAAAGTAGAGATGGCTAGCAACAAGCTAAAAGTAGCAAAAGGCTAAATGAAAGCTAAAAATAGAGAGGGCTAGCTAAAAGTAGCAAAAGTCTACCTACAAGTAGAGATGGCTAGCAACAAGTTAAAAGTAACAAAAAGCTAGCTAAAAGATAAAAGTAACAAAAGGCTAGCTCAAAGATAAAAGTAGAGGACAGTAACTAATCCAAAAGGTTTTATAAAACAAAACAACTTTTATTCTGTATCTGACTTCAAAGAGAACAATGTTTCTGAATTACAGAGATCTCTGCGTGTTTCTATGGGAAAATATTTTAAAGCTAATAAAACAAATTTAATGAAAACTTTTAATAGTTCCAAAAAACCTAAAGTTACAGCACAAATCTGAATGAGCTGAACTTTTTCTATTTATTTTTGTCTAAAATATAGAGGGAGTCAGCTTGCCAAGAAATGTATGGAAAAAATAAACAAGTAAACAATTGAAGCAACTTTTACACAGCAGGGCCTTTTCCTATGAAACCTCATGAAAGTACCAGCATTAGGTTAATAAATAAATCATATGAATAAAACAGAAATGACAGAGTGGAACATTTTCACCTGATGAATTCAAAGTACTTTTAACTCTCACTAATTCAGCTCTAAATCCTGTTAGTGGTGAATGTTCTTTATCAAACCTCATGAAGTGTTTCTGACACCAAGCTCAAAGTCAGTTTTACCAAAAGTTTGTTTGTTTGCAAACTATTTTACAGTTGTCTGTAAAACAAGTTATGCCAAACATTAAACTGGACAAAGCAGATTAGTTATTACTTTTATTGCGTATGTTTGTCCTTTTGTCACATGATGCAAACCCTGCTACATCAACCGCATCACGTCCATTGATACTTTCCTTTTTATTTCTGTGTTTAATTAAGACGTGTCGGGGCAGTCGTGGGTCTGCAGCTCAGACGTTTCAAGCCTCAGCAGAACGAATCAAGGTCCTCTTATCTGTTCCAACAACGCCATATTTGATACGGTAATCTGGCTCCAGCTTCCTGTTTCATGTGTAGAAAATGAAAGATGTCCCAAAGTGAGGTCATTTAAAGGAATAATAAAACTTCCTCGCTGGAGGAATTGTGTTGGCAGTGATTCAGGCTGATTGGAGCGATCTCTGTTCACCTGCAGCTGGCTTCATAAGAAAAGGCCCAAATACGAGCGGCTGACTTTATTTGCTTTTTAATAAGTGAGAAGACACATTTCTTCATTTTAATCATTTAAAAAATGCCAAAAAATAACCAGCCCAATTCATGGACTTAATGAGACGCATCTAACAACTGGATTACTTTTATTTATATGTTAATGTCATAAAATGTAGGGAAAGTAACAAATAAATACACAGTTACAAATGTATCAGAGTCACTTGTTCAGGTAAACAACTCAACGGCTGCAGAGTACGAGTGAATGAAGAGTTTCAATCTACCAACCAACTCCTAAAGCAGGGGTCTGCAACCTGCGGCTCTGGAGCCACATACGGCTCTTTGGTCCCTCCGCAGCGGCTCCTTGAAGCTTCGACCAAAACTGACATAAAACTGACTTTTATTGTTGTTACAACAACAAAAATGGACTAGTTTAAGCTGTTTTTCTGTCATTTCTTTTTATCAAATATGTGAACACTGGAACATGTACAAGGAGTAAAACATACTCACTTTAATTTGATGCTTTATTTCTATACTTAATTAATTTTTCCACAATAAAAAGAATACGTAGGTCTGCATAGTTCATAGTTTTTATTAATTAATTAGTAATTAATATTCAATTATTATTATTATTATTTTATTAATTAATATTATTCATTATTATTAATTAAATTCAGGTCTCTCTTGTAAATGAGTCCTCAAGGCTCAATGGGATTAACCTGTCTAAATAAAGGTTGAATGAATTTAATTTACTGTTTTTTATTCTTATTTTTAATCCTCAGACAAATAGTGTTAAGTTATTATTTTTATATGAACGTTTCTGTTCAGTGCCCTGAGATTACTTCTGTTGGGACTTAGCGATGTATAAATAAATTTAATTTAATAATAAATTGTAAAAAAAACGACCCCCCCCCCTCTTTACAAGAATTTAGTCTTTTCATTTGTCTTAAATTGTAAAAATATAAATTATTAGATATTTTTTAGCTCTATAATGTCACCACTAGTGGCCACACAAGCCCCTCCAGCGAACCTAAGGAGGCCCATGGGCCACCAGTTGATAATCCCAGTGGTAGCAGGTTGTTACGGCTCTGAACGTTTTTAATTTAGTGAACGACTGTGTACAATGGCTCTTTTGATCGTAAAGGTTGCAGACCCCTGCCCTACAGACAGACCCCCCCCCCCACACACACACACACACACCAATCATCAGCAAAGATGCATTCTGTTCTTATGTAATAGCAGAGCTGTGCTCCATGCGGTGCAGTTACAGTGATGCAGCTGATGTGATGGCCTCACATTAAATCCCTTCAGAGTCAGGGGGCTGCAGAAGGCTCGAAGTTTAGCCTGAACACGAGCTGATGGGGGGTCCTGCAGGGGAGGGGGGCAGCGGGCCTGTCCTGGTGGCAGCTCAGACCTCACACCTCAACATGACTCACCAGCCGTCGCACCACACGCGGACTCTTCTCCTCCTCTTCTCCGGGCTGCAGGCTGCAGCAGCCGGGGTCCCGCCCGCCTCCCTCCCGGGGGCCGGGCTCTCCTGGTGGAGGTGCTGGTGATGGCCGTTCTTGATCATTCTGCTCAGCTCGCGCGCGCCTCTCTCCGAGTCAGGTGCTTCTGCTGCACCGTGACAGGTGTGCGCCCCCCTCCTCCCTGACGGCGGCTTTCTGCGTGTCAGCCGTGGTGGTGGTGCGATGCGCCAACACCTCCTCCTCCTCCTCCTCCTCCTCGGGTCGACGCAGCGACGCACGCAGCGCGCGGCGGAAACGAGCGCGGACTCCTAAATCCCCTCCGTGTTCATTTGGACTCCTGTGAGTTTTATTTTGAAAACCTTGAACCGAGCTCCGTGTTTACAGCTTTACAACATCAGAGAGGCGGGGCCGACGTGTTGTTACGTAATGCAGCCGTTTATCCAAGGTCACGTGACCCCACTGGCTGTATATGGCGGCTCGTTTGATGTGACTGATGGGAACTGCAGTTCTAATGAATGTACTGAATCCCTAGAATCGATTCACTATAAATGATTCGTTCACTGAATCCTTCTGTTCCTGCAGTTTATTCCCAGGACATCCTTGTAAAAGAGATTAATAATCTCAACGGATTTCTTTCCTGGTAAAATAAAGGTCTCAGTGTTCATGAGTGACACAAACTCTACAGCGGCAAGCTGCACATTCACTAAATATAAATGTGGGTCCTCTTTTATTATTGTTGTTGTTGTTATTAAGACTTCAATAAGGGCACAGAACATTTGGTTATAGGAAAGACTGAAATAAAGATTGTGAAGTTTATCAATTAATGTAAAAAAACCAAAAAAAGCTGGATTAACATAAATACATAAATATTGCAGCTGTAGCATAAAGGCCATTAAATTGTGTCCAGACAACACTTCTTCTTCTTGACTCGCTCATCTTCATTCACTCACTTTCTTTCAGACATTTTTATTTTTTTTTATTTTATTTTGTGGGGGTGTGGTGTGTGTAAATGGTACTTGTTCTTAGACACCCCTGCATCGCTGCCGCCGCTTGCCCTGCTGTGAGTCCCACTCACTCTTCTTGTGTCTCCTCTCCTCATGTGTGTGTGTGTGTGTGTGTGTGTGTGTGTTTATTTTGATGTGGCTTGAGTCAACATTAGCCTTTAGCTTGGAGAACGATGTCATTGCCAATGGCATGAGAGCACATCCACATGAGGAGGAAACTGACTCTGTCCTGAATGATTTTAATGGAGTGTTTCATTCACTGACTGATGCATGCATTTTATTTGCAGTAAACGAATCACGTCACATTCACTCTGACGTCAACAACAGTTCCTCCCCGCCCACACGCTGCCGTGTTGTTCTGATTCACGTCACGAGTGACAGAATGTGGAAGTTCCACTCCTGACCGTCACGCTGGTGCCGAGCTCAGCTGAACTGAGAAAGGAACGAATCAGTTACTAAAATGATTCGGTTCAGTTCGTTCAGTCAAAAGACTCGTTCATTTGAACGAATCGTTCATGAACAACACTATGGATGGAGCTCAGAAACAGGCAGTTTTTACCAACTTCCTGTATAACAAGAAGGGTATTTATTTATTTATTAGCTGTATTATGATATAACTATAGCGATGGACTTGCGACCCGTCCAGGGTGTACCCCGCCCCTCGCACAGCGATTGCTGGACATGGGCACCGGCGACCCCCGTGACCCAAAATGGAAGAAGCGGATAAAAGATAATAGATGGATGGATATAACTATAAAAATTAAGATGATTAAAAGTTGTTTTTTTTATCATAACTTTACTAATTGGCTTTTATGTATATGAATGTTCCTGTAAAGTGCCCTGAGTCAACTTTGTTGTGATTTGGCGCTATATAAATAAACTGAATTGAATTGAATCAACTGCAGTATGTAAACACATGGATACATATGTAATACTATGTCAAAGTTTTAAAGCAGATCAATTGTTTTTTTAATAGCAAAAAAACCTTCAGATGCTGTAAGATATATGCACAGAACTAGAAGCATCAACAATAGTTCTTTCCTAATATATATATTTTTAATCTGTGTCATTCTAGAAAGATGCCAAAATGAGAAGAAAGTTACAAAGTAAGTCATGAAGAGCCTATTACTCATTTTTTAAATTTACTCTTTGACTTTAGGAGCATTTTTAATCCTAAATAATTCACAAATCTGGTTTAAAGTGGTAAACAAACAAACAAACAGAATCAGGAGCTAGAGTAAAATATAAAAAAAAAAAAAGACATGAGTGATGACTCAAAATCTTTGCACAGTAGCAAACAGTAGAACAGAGACATTGATTCCATCCACTTTGAGACTCTTTAAGATGTGCTGTACTCACCAGCATAACTTTATTTTTGTAAACAAATACACATATACTGTGTGTATATACTATATATATATATATATATATATATATATATATATATATATATATATGCATGCTATAACTTCAGTAAATTTAAATACAGTACTACAAAATGTGCCAATAAAACTAAAGAGTCTGCCTTCAGTTCTCAGTTAAAATCTTAATGTTCAAAGTAAAAAATATGTGAGATTTAAAGACATGTTCTCGATTAATCTGTGACAAAGTATATAAATAGTGTAGAAACGAATCAAATCGTGCAACTTGTCAGGCGATGGATCGGTGAACAACAAACCGTGTGCAGAGAATGTTTCCCTTCTTGGTTTTGCACGTGGGTGCCAGCAGAGGACACTGTAATCCCACACAGCCACTTCCTGTCAGGCAGTTAAAGGGAACATCCTGATCTTCTTTGTCTTCACTTGCATCTTTTGTCTGAACAGGGACCCACACTGTGCAGTGCTCGCTCTTTAACAAAAAACTGAATGATTCTGAGAACAGTCACTAAAATTCTTCACATCAGATCTTGGCGACCCATTCTTGTTAATGTTTATAATAAAGTAAACAAAGGGATTAAACCTTTCCCTCATGCTAGAACGGAATGTGCAGGATGTAGCCCAGTGTTAAACTTTGAACGGGCACGTCTGCTGATGGTTCACCCGTGCTGATGGGGATGGCAACATTAATTGTACGGCAGGTTGTGGTCCGAGAACTGGGGCAAGCACCTGCTGCAGAAGTGGGTGAAAATGAAGGATGCTGTCCTAGATAGCCCACCGGCTCACCTTAACCCAACCCGCCAAATTAATCAACTCTTCAGAGGCCACTCGCTCGTCTGGGGCAGGCGTCCAAGGAGAGGAGAAGCCTGTTTTTAGGCACAGGTCACACAGACCTGTAGAAGCGTTTAATAGAACTGAGGATCAGCGGCATGCTGCGTGCATGCTGCGTGCACGCCGAGGCGGCGGGGCTTAGACTTGCCCTGCAGGATGAAGTGGCGAGATGGAAGTTGTCGAAAGCCATCTGTCTCTTTGTTTCCGGGAATTCTCTCATGAGATGCGTTTTGAACGCGCCGGGGTTGAAACGCTGCTGTGGAGGCTGATGTTTGATGAGGTGCACCAAGATTGTGGGGGGAGTAGGAGCTCCACAGGGAACAGAGATGACTAACTCACAACTCCTCCTAATCTAGGACAAGCACACCTAGACATCCTTCATGACTCTAATGTTTTACTCGTGTCGGGCCAAAAATACGTCCGCTGAGGTTAGCCAAAGTGGGTCGCCCAGCAGCTTTTTTTGGATCACAGAAAAAGAAATTGTGCCATCTAAATGATCGCTGTCTTCTAAAACCCACCCTGGCCGGCAAAAAGCCTTCCCAGCCAGTTTATTTTTACAAGTATCAAAGTGGGTCAATGACGCCACAGAATGTGACAAAACCTAATTTCGAGAGTGTTCAGGAGACCCAAATTACCAGCCCTGAAATCATTTTCCAAAACATTTTATTGATCTTATAGAAAATAAAGTAAGCTGTATTAACAAACATACAATATATACATCAATAACTTATGACACCTCAAAGAATCACATTGAAATCCACAGCTGATACTGTTCATGAATACATAGTGCTTATCTACAGATTGCAAAAAAGTACAATAATTTAATTTATAAATAGTTACAATTACCTATTGTCTGGTTTCATACAAAGTACTGCAATATTTTATTACAACCCATACAGAAATATAACAAAACAGATTATTAACTTTGTGTTACTCACTTTAGGCAGATTTAAATTCCTTTTGAAACACAAAACCCACTCCATACAGTAAGAAGAAAAAAAACCTGCACAGTCAACCGATTACAAAAAAAGAATAAATCCACAAAAAAAAAAAAAAAAGCTTACGTTTTGAGAGCTATTAAACTCAACTGCCACACAAGTGCTGCTATTATCCTCTCTAACATTTTTTTTTTTTTTTAAGCGGCTATGTTCAATTAAAAATTAGATCTGCAGAACAAATTACAGTGTTAAGATCAATTAAAAACACACCACGGAATGAGAAGAAAAGTGCCGTGGAGGACGTAACAGCAAACAGTGCGCATTAATGACTGATGTAGCAGCAGAACCACACTGGAACAACCACGTACACGCACACATGTCCCAAAGACGACAAAATAAATATTGCATGAGGCCCTCGTGACAGAATCTATCATCCACTTAGTGCACAAACATCTCTACAACAGCAGAATCTTTCAGTGAATATCCACGTTCAATTTATAAATGGGTAAAACTCATCAAATAAGGCTTTAGTGCAGCTGCTTTATGGTTCCTTTAAATTACCACAAACTAAACAAACAAGGGCCAAATGCTTTTACACTTACCGAAGCTAAAACAAAAATAAAATACATTTTACAACTAAATAAAATCAACAACAAAAAAAGTGACATTTAAATTATATAATCTCACGACATTGACAATACTGATTAACCTTACACGTCTCTTTCACGCGTTGCCACTGAGTTGCATATTAAGGGTCACTTTTTCACAATGGTCATCAATACCTACTGCAGCTACATACTATACACCAGTATGTGTGATAACGAGTCATCATCTCGAGACGAGATGCAAAGATTGGTCAACAGTGCCACCTTAAAAGACACTCGACACATTAAAAAAAGAAATTAATAAACAAAAAGAAAAACACTCTACAAGACTGCCACAGCAAGAAGGACGCCAACATCAATACTGAGCTATGTCAAGAGTCACGTATATATTTTTCCACAGTTAACCAGTCACTGCAGATAGCTAAGCATGTCAACAAAGTCAAGACAAGACACTTGCACACAGACAGTATGACCAGCACCCAGATCTCTGAGATGGGAGTAATAGAGAGTGACTGCAGATACGCGTCCCTCCCCACCAGCCTGCATGAGGTGCATTGTGTTAATGTCGTTACACAACTGCTTTCACCTTGAGGTGCACAACTGCCTCCGTGTTAAACTCCCTTTACAAGACCAGGAGATCCCACACTTGGCACAGAGGAAGCGCTGCTGGCAGCTGCTCTTGATTGTAATTCTACATCGCCGTGCTGTGGACTGAAGCCCTTTATGACAAGGAAAAAGAAAAAAGGCGAGAAAACAGAGCTGCCGCTTTGCTTCTCGTCTAACACGGTTTGTCCATTTTTAGTGGCCTGTTTTGTCCTGAGCAAAACAAGCACGAGCTTAGTGCATATATACAAACCCCTCAGCCAATCCTTTCCTTTTGTATACCGAGGAGAAATGGGCAAAGGTACGGAGGTGATGCTAAAACCTCCAGCGGCTAATCTTTGAACGTATTTGTGCGATCTCCGATACTTAAAAACGTATCCAGCGTCAAAATGTTTCAATTCCGAGCTGGAACAGTGAAATCTTTACAGGGATCCATCACCAGGCGTAACCGCTATTCACAATACGTTTCAGATACAAATGCCTTTTCTGTTCACTGATGCTATTTAACCGAGATCTGTCTTGCACTGCTCAATGACGTAAACTCTTCATGACGATATGATTTGTAACTAACACCAAGGAAGCGGAGGATATCACAGATGCCAATACGCACAGACAATTGACCTTGTTTACACCACCTAGTTTAGCTCTACAGAGTTGTTTAAAATAGCACAGCATTGACATCTATACAGTGAACGACACCGCCGACTTGTCACTTACACGTCACATCACGCGCTACCCCACTGTACGCGCCTAGTCACTAGAAAAAGCTATCAGACTTCAATAGTAAGCCACTTTTGGTACAATTGCAAAAATGATTTCACAGGATTTTTTTTTTGTTTGTTTGTTTGTTTGTGTTTTCCTTTTATGCATTTCTATAAACAATGGAATCAAAACTACCAAGTAATAAAAAACAGGAACTCAACATTAGACAAAGTTTTCTACACCTTAACAATTCAAACAGTAAAGCTTGTGTCAGCACTTTTTTCCTATTTCTTTCTTTTTTTTCTGGAAATATATGACGGCCCTGTTAACAAGTAAATACAAAAAGAAAATTACAATACATATATATATATATATTTTTATCTTTGAAAGAAAATGTTTTCCTCTGTGATCAAAATGATGTCTCAAAATGTTTGTCCCTGCAAAACACAAGGGTATTACTGTAATAACATTCAGGTTTTCAGATATTATTGAGGAATGGCACTCAGCTCTGGAACAATATCTGTGAGAACAGCTGATCATGGTTCACTTGACCAGAAATACTCAGGATCTTTTTTTTTGTCTTTTAAGTGCATACACATATTATTGCATCTACCAGTTATGTTGATCATGACAACTTCACTGAAGCCTTTCACAAATGTTGGAATGAAAACTAATCATAGGTTGTTTTGTATCTTTAAAGGAAACCCAACAGCAAAAAAAACAGGAGGAATTTCTAGTTTTGTGAATGTCGGGTTTCTTTGAAGACGTCGTACTAAAACCAAAAGTGTGATCGTTTATGTTTTAGTCAGTGCAGAATAACAAACCTTACGTAATTAGATGTTTTCCTCCCGTCTGTGCTCTGGAATTAGAAAGGAGTCACATCTATAATTTATCGTTTTATGGATTGTTACCACCTGTGAGACTCTAGAAATGTCAGTTCTTCAGAATTAGTCCCTTAGTCTTATAAAAACAAGCGTTTATCACTCTAGCACGGCCACAGACAGCTCGACGAGCAAACGCTTCTGAGTCATACTGTTAAAGAGAGAACTGGGAAGCATTTTATGAGTTAGTGCCAAAGTAAAAGTGAGAACTTACACAGGAAATCCTGCTCCATGTTACAATGCACTAATTAGTTAAGTTTTGAAAATCTTCTTCCTGCTCTTTTGGCTACTATGACCTAGCCTCGGTTTTGGATTTGACGATGGTGATGACGCTGGTGGCGGCTACTTTACCAGGGATGAGGGGCCCTATCACAGAGGCCATAGGTCCCCTTGCCGAAGTGACGGGATTGCGGGCCACAGTCCTAGCAAAGCTTTGGAGGGCCTCGTACTTTGAACGCAGAGCGTCCAGCTCCACCTTCATGCTGGCGTTCTCCGTGGCCAGCTTGTCCACCTCTTGTTGCAGCTGAGCCTTTTGCTTTTCCAGCTCTTCTTTCTGGGTGACGCGCTTCACCCGGCAGCTTGCGGCGTAGCCGCGGTTCTTCAGCGTGCGCCGCCGCTGCTTCAGCTGCAAGATTTCTTCTTTCGTCAGCCCCCGTAAATGTTGGTTCAGTTCGCGCACAGACATGGAGACGAGCTCGTCATCTGTTAGGCTGGTGCCATTTTCCCCAGGCTCCCGCTTCACCTGCGGACGAGGTAGTTTTTGCTTTGTTTAAAAAAAACGACACTTGCATATTACAGCCGTCATAGCTTGGAGCCATATTTGTTCGATTGTTTTTTTACCTTTAAGGCCTTGTTTCCCTTGTTTGTGGTAGTCATGCCACGAGAGCAGCGTTCACGTGTACTGCTGGTTGTTCTGTGAAAAGATCAGTCATAGATTTAGAAGAAGAAGAAAAAAAAACACAGCTGTCAAATAACATATTTAAATACAAAAAACATATTTCTGGAAAATAGGCTACAGCGTGACCATGTTCCAAAAATATAGAGTAGGGCAAGGACTTAAGATTTCTTGTGATGTGATACCAGTTTTTAAACAAAGTGTAACGTTCGTGCATCTGCCGCCAAAAACTAATAATTTAAAGGTTTGTATCCTAAATAAAAACAGGAAATACTAATAAACAGCATTGTGGTGAGCCACAATGAGGATGGTGTTTTTAATTGGCTGAGTCACTTGTTTCAAGTCCAGCCTCTCACAGAGAAAACACTGCTGAGCTTTTCTATTGTACATCCACCCTCTGCTAAAATACATTCATTAGAAGAAACACGGTGCTCCTTTCGTTTACTAAGCAAGCTACACAGTCTAGACAGTCACACCTGTGTTGGCCAGAGCTGAGCTATAATCCCATAAATCAATTAAAAAAAGATAAATATTTTGTTAGTGCGGAGCCTAAGTACCACCCAGGATAACAGGGCTGCATTGCAGTTTAATTCTGTCCCGTCAGTACTGAGGAAATTCCAAGAGGGGATGTGCAGGCGAGAAAATGAACCTGCCGGTGTTGAGACAGACAGGAGGTCGAGTGCCTTCCACTGAGCGAGCTAAGTGCACACAAACACACACACACACACACACACACACACAGTCGTGGCCCTGGGTGCTTTGCACTGCATGCAGCAAATGCTGTGTCAGCGACACAGACACCCACCACACTCAGCCCACCCAGCACATTGCCTCGCTAAGCTGATTTACACAGCCAGCACTGTGTTACTATAAAGCACACAAACAAACTCATATTGGCTGTTACAACGTTAATCATCAGGAAACGATGAAGACGCAAAGAATCAAAGAACTCCTGCCTCTGTGTGTGTGTGTTTGTTTATAGCCTCCGTGCACATTACGGTACTCATGTATGATGTGTGCAGAAAAGCTCAGCGAGGCAAGAAAAGAAAAAAAAAAAAACAGATGAGTTGTCCGTCTGAAGTGCGCCAAGAAGGCCAGGATATTTCCATGGCAACCAAAGGGTGTTACAGGTGGACCGGTCACCTGAGCCAAACCGGGAGAGACAGATGCTTGTTAAAAATGACCTGAATACGACACTATCACAGAGGCTGGGGACATAACATGAGGTCAGACTGTGACTGGAATTCTTGATGTTTTTACTTCAAAAACTCCTCTGGCTCCCCCGGAAAACCACGACGCGTCACCGCGCTGCAGATGCTCATATTAAAAGCCTTTCACGTTCTGCAGAGGACGTCTTAAATGTGATTGTTTCATCCCTTATGGGCTGGCTATGAATAGCCTTCTGATAGTAACACCTACCTTTCACAAGCCTTTGTGGTGACTCATTTCCAGTAAGCATTTGGACCACAGATGCAAAACATAATGGGATAATGGTCTACCTGATGATGCACAGATGATAATGGACAAATAGACTACATTATTAGCCACTGGGAGGAGAGTAGAAAAAAAAAAAAAAGCTTGCGTCTTCCAAATTTCATATTAAGCCTATCATTTTCTCTTGGCAGCTGAGACCTAACAGTCCACAGCAAGTGTAATTCTTGATAACACAGAGAAATATTATTTATATTTAGAAGTTAAACTGTATGTTCTGTCACACATCTGTGTAGGGTAAAACAGAAACATGGCCTGGCATTCTGAAAGCTCAACATATGACAGAGTAAAAATTGCACCCGGGCTGCAAGCCTCCAGCACAGGCTGCTGCCAACAGACGGCTACCAATGACAGGCCATGGCAGAACAACACAGACAAGGTCCAATGCACAGCTGCTCCCTTCCACTACCGGGCATGTCATACCTCACAGAGACAAAGACGCATCTACAGAAATAGAGAAGCAATAAAAAAAAAAATCTGTAAGGAAATGATGAGAAAGTGTCCAAAATGCGGCTAACGACTAAATTACTTTCAATTTGACAATTCAAACAAAAACAAGTACATCACCTCACATCAATTATTTCATGCCTTTAGTAAGCGTCTCGCCAAAAGAGCAGGAGGTGAAAGACGCAGCTTGAGCACAGGGGCACTGGAGGTAGGGAGCAAATGCGAGGACACAGACATCTTTTGTAGATGCTTGCTGAATTTTTATGAATCGCCTGGAAGAACGCTGACAAATCAGAGCTGATTGCTTGCGGAGGAGAGACATCACACCCACAGGAAATAGAAAGCGCTGAGTGTGGTCACCCACAGAAAAAGGAACAGTGAGAGACATATAGAGAAGGAGAGGCAGGGAAAGAGAGGGTGAGATGAAAAGAAAAAGAGAAAGGAAAAAGCCTTGCGCAAAATGCACGGTCGGCACATTTAGAGGAGCTTGAGTAGAACAGGTTGAGTCAAAAATAATAAATAAAATTGATCTCACCATAGACAAAATGCAAAGTGCCAATTAAGAACCTGTGTAGTTGAAGTAATGCAATCCTAATAAGAAGCATTCGAAACTGTCATTGTTCCCATAAATATACGGAGGGAACATCAGGTTGGTAATCAAGAATAATAATAAATAAATATTGACACTGGTGCCATAAATGCTGATTTAACATGATAGGTCTGGTCCTAAGCCAGTGGCCTGCTTTAAAGATCTTGTCCCCTTCAAAAGTACTCTCCAGAGGGGGATGCCAAAGATGGACACTATTAGCCATGGGGTTCTGTTGAGGGGGAACTGAAGCTCCAGCTACCCATGCACTGCGTCCTTCTGATGAATATTTATCACTGTCGTTTACTGCCTGAGATGGGGGTGGGAGACAGAGCGAGGGTTGGAGGCTGAATAAAGATGCTCAGGAGGTGATTCTTCAAGGATAAATCCAAGGCTTTTCCGTCAACAACTGTCTCAAAATGGTGGTAGGCTGGTGGGGGTGGGAAGGGGGACTGTATTTCTGGTAGTGGAGGTGGCCCACGCAGTGGTTCAGGGTTGCAGGGAGGACCAGCTCCACTTGACAGCAGTGTAACAAGATTATCAGGGCCATAAGAGCAAACAAAAACCCCAGCAACCTGCCTCAGAATCCAGATTACGACTGCACCTGCTGTCTGAATGCTAAGCATGGCTGGGAAGGTCTAACAGGATACAAGGTTTGCGGAGACAGGGCGGGGGATTGCACATCACACAACTAATCACACACAGACACATCTCTAAACACACAAAAGTAGAATAAATGTAAACTGTCCTGATCGATTTGTGCAAATTGCTTCAGAGCACTTGGTGCAGACAGGTTGCTCAACAAAATGAATACAATTAGACAGCAAAGATTATATATATATGAATAATATTTATATATTTTATTTATTTCCAGGAAAAATGTAAAGAAGAACTTTAGTAAATAGTTAACACATTTTCAAATTTATCTTAAAAACAAAAGAAAAGTAAATAAGGCCTATAATTTTTTTTCCTTCCACCTAGTTTTAGACTTAAGATCGTCTCATGTTGAGGAATAAAAACCATAAACACATTGTATGAAGTCTCAAAAGAAAAGACTATTGTGAGATGTAAGGAATAGACTATGGTATTGTGAATGACTCTCAGCTACTACCACACCAACTTTCAGCAGAATATCTGTAGAATTGAGTGAATTACAGCCCTTTTTTTTTGTTTTCGACAATGTACAGTGCTGTGGTGATGGACTTGAACCGAGGTTGACTCAACAAGTTAATGTCGCCGTGCCTCCAAAGATCACTCCCTGTACGTTTTGTTAAAATCCAGCCAGTGGTTCATGAGATATTTTGATAAACAGAAACACACGCAGACACAGAAAAAAGATGCATGTCCACATTCAGCTTTTAGCAACAGGCTAGAAATGTCTTTCTCTACAAATTGCAAACTAACAATAATAACCACAAATATATGAATATTTAGTAAGAATTGTGCATGAAACAAAAAATAACACCCACGTCTCAAATACATATCTTATATTTATTTGCAGTCTCATCTGCTTGATCTTTTACTGTTGAGCTGATTAATGCAATCAGCCAACAGTTCCCCCCTGTATGCCATCAACAGCTCTTCTCAGGAATTCATGCCTGAGCAGACAGAGGCACTACTACGTTCAGCGCCTCCCTTCTAATTCAGATTCAAAAAGATCACCCAGATACTCAGATCTAATCATTTCTCCCGTCAGCTGAGCAAAGTCAATTATCAAGCAAGCTGCATGTGTCGGGCGGCATTTAACTGCAAATTAAAAAAAACAGACTGCTCTGATCGCTTTGGTCGAGATACGGGATGAGTGGTGTAAACTTCTGGATGGGGAAAACGGCATCCGAGTGTGTCTGAGTAACTGAAAGGTACGATGGGAAGAGAGGTGGGAAGCCATTAACTACTAAGTATTCAGAGCGTGAAATAATAGTGACAAAAAGAGGCAGAGGAGGAATCATTCAGCAGCTTTCAAAAGAAAATGGAATATGCTTGTAGTGGAGGGGAAATACGAAGCCATGTGCTTTTGAACGTTTGCAACGAGACTGAAAATAGCAAACTAACCTAAATCTGAGGCCACCTGTTTTCGCAGACCTGACCCCTCTTACAGCCTATGATAGCATACTATCCCCGAGTATGACACCCGCTTCAGATGTTATCAGCTATTAAATGGCCATTATTAGTTGTTATCATCTCCATATGTAGCGGTCAGTCTGCCCCTCCTGTACCTCCTAGTGGGTTTAAAAGGTACGTTGTTAGCGATGATAATAGGCTCTGTTTTTAGCTTTGTTAGTGCTCATAATAGCTCACGTGGTTAGGTTTAGAGTAAAGGGTCTGGCGGTTAGGTTTAGGGTCTTGGTTAGGTTTAGGCACAAGGGTAAGGGGGTTAAGTTTAGGGTTGGTCCTCTGGGTCAGGTGTAAGCTTAAGTTTAGGAGAAGGGTTACATAAGCTGGAAAAAAACTAAAAAGACGCTTGATGATTTACCCCTGTGCGACGCTGCCTACT